TCGTGTACTATTCTAATAACTAACGCTCCAACTGAAGGTGCTAATGATAAAATTTTATCTTTTAGGCAATATTCTCTTTGGCGCGTAAATTATCTCCATGCGTAATATTTCTGGACGAGGTTGATGCTATATTTGGGTCTAGAAGATCTGACATAAACAATGGAGCACATAGAGAAATCATCAATCAGTTTATGGCCGAATGGGATGGGCTGACATCAAAGAACGAAGGTGTACTTGTCATGGGAGCGACCAATCGGCCATTTGATATTGATGATGCGATTTTGCGAAGGATGCCTAGAAGAATCTTAGGTAAATCGTCGATTACGATATAAAGATGTTATATTTTATAACCTTTCCACTTGTCTTCATTAATCAATGGCCTTTATTTAGTGGACTTACCAACAGAGAAAGACCGTGAACAGATACTGCATCTCCATCTTCGCGACGAACAGCTTGATCCAGCAATATCAATGGCTCACTTAGCTAAAACAACACATCTTTACTCTGGATCCGATTTAAAGAATTTATGCATAAGCGCTGCATTGGCTGCAATACGTGAAGCTGCTCGTTCAGATATACTCACAAAACCATCAACGAAGACGGTAAACAGTAATGATAAGGTGCCTTTTCCAAGAAGAATACTGAGATCTGAGCATTTCCAGTTGGCACTCAAACAGATAACGCCTTCATGCTCGGAAGATATGACAAGTTTAAGCGAACTCAGGAAGTGGGATAGTCTATATGGTGATGGCGCATGGAATAGGAGGAAGAGAATGAAAGGTATAGGGTTTGATGGTAGTTCAGATATATCAGATATTTCAACAAACGGACTATAAATTTCATAATTACCTACATGTTGTTCTTCTGCACTTAATTGAATGGAGCGTCTAGCGATTTTATTCACTCGAATAATTGTTTTTTCAAGTCTGGAATGACCACGTTTTTATGCTAACAGGGGTGGTTTAATTTAGTATTTGATTAATGAGGTTTTTGGTCATTACTCATTTCGAAAATCAAATTATTAAAAAGAGTTTGATTGTTTTCTCATTATTGTTCCTGTTGAGATAATCATACACTACTTGCGGGTGGCCCTTACTAAACTTTGTCGTAACCCACTAGTTCTTCGTAATCATAATCATTTGACAGCTGCGTCAAGCCTTACAATATCGGGTCAAGTAATGATCAATGATAGTATTATGGTGGCGTAACCAATCACATTTATTACTACCTACGATACCGCTCCCCTGGGAGGAGGGCGGTTCTATTCAAATTTGGGTAAATTAATTAGATTAGCACGCTGGTTATTATACAACGCTATTCGACACTACTTTTTATAAGGAACCAAGTTTCTGGTCTAAATATTCCATATTCATTTTCTCGCAGTATTACAATATCTCTCCCGGAAATAGATCCCTTATACTAAATGCTTCTATTCCTTATTCTAATTGGTCTCGACAGCCAACACACCATCTACCCGTAACTGGTCACCAGATGTAATAGCGTTGTGGAAGTCCCTGAGGAGATTATCGACGTCTTCCATGGTCAGCGGCCGAATGTCTGCCAGTTCCTTGATTTTGATAGTAACCTGTTTAACTTGATCATCGGTCAATTTGATATCTAATTGTTCAACACGATTCTTGACCGCGTTCCAACCGGTCAAGCGATGACCAATAGAAACATAGCGGGTCATTCTGCAGTTGATGTCAATGAAAATGAAAGGCAAATGTTATAAGAATACTGTTATAATAGCAGGTAATAAAAAGTTAATACATTATAATAACATTTTACTCACCCAAAGTCCTCTGGCTTGAGAATTTCATAAGTACTCGGGTTATTGAGAATAGCTTTCGCATGGACTCCAGCTTTATGGGTAAACGAACAGTATCCTGTAATGTAGTTATTAAATGGCACTTGTACTTGTACAGCATCTGCAACTAAGTTCTCTAAATCACGAAGCATATGTAACTTGTACTTGTTCTTGATGTATTCTTTGTCGGCAGTATACATTCTTGCAACAAGTCCGCCCAAAGGTGTAATTCCGTTTCTCTCACCGATACCTAACACCGAGGTATCAATATGTGTAGCGCCTGCTTCTAACGCAGCATATGCATTAGCAATAGCACACCCAGTATCGTTATGAAAATGACACTCAATATCACAGGATACGACTCCTCTGAGTGTCCTTACTAAGTCATACACTTGCCGTGGGTTAGCACATCCAACGGTATCTGCAATGCCCACTCTATTGACGCCTAATTTGTCAACCGTGCGATAGATGCTCAGTAAATCAACCAAATCGCTGCGGAAGGAGTCTTCCGATGAGAAGCGTACTTCGATGCCTTTCGATTTGACAAAGTTTACGACTTCTATAGCTTGCTTTGTGATATAGTTCATGTCTTTGCCATGCGAAAATTCACGTAGATAAGATGATGTGCCGATCACTACATCGACACCGTCGACACCTGCTCGTCACATTAATGGATGTTAATTTGTGCAGACAGGTATAAATAAAATCACAAGCATTTTGATTAACAGTTTCAATGATAGCCCGAACCGTCAGCCATACTTACCGGTTTCAACGGCAATTTTTGCATCGCCCATATGGCATCGTATGTGAGTGAGAATTTTTGCCTTAAGACCAAGTTTGCAAATCGCAACGCAGTCCTCCCGTGACTGTTCGGAAGCTGCAGGCGAAGTAAGTTCGATGTATTCAACTCCAAAAGCATCCAGGGCTTTAGCTATTTCTATCTTCGTATCTGTGTCAAAGAAAGCATTGGCAAATTGCTCGCCCTCTGTGCGTGAGACGTTTATGAACGCCAATCAGTAAGAATAGTTGACGGTATACACGGATCTTCCATATATAAACAAATTCCGAGACTTCTAATATTGTATCTCATAGTGGCCATACTGTCTACTCACCTCTCAGGGTCGACTCGATAATAGAGAAGTTGTTTACCCGGCTAAGCAAGTCAGAGTAGTGTGAAGTGTAAGGGTTCCGCAGTGCTGGCGGGTCATCCCGTTTAATATTATTTAATGATGCTGTACCATTCATTGTTTCTGTTGTTATGTTAATGATACTGAATATAGGCCCGGCTTCGTGATTGTTTCTGGCAACAAAAATTTTTTGCAGGGTTATAAATATAAACAGAAAATTTTGTGTAACGTTAAATATAACAATAAATTACTATTACTATTATATATTACGTTTTAAGATCTTTAGATAATCTAAATCTCTCGATAATTGATTATCACGCAGGTTTTAACGAAAATAGCAATTATGAGGGGATCTTGCAGCAAATCATCTGACTTCCCGTCATGGCTATTATAGTCATGTGAAGATCGCTCAATTAAGTTAAATTTTGTGAGCTGATTGATAGGGGGAACTTTAGTAGTTCTAGAGAAAATACAATTACAGTAACTGGAATAATTTTCAAAATTGGATAATCGTAACAAAACTTACTCCAGTTTGGGCGCATGCATTTAGGAAGAAAAAACAGTTTATGCATTTAGGCGTGAATGTAAAATTGGACTGCAAATATGACGTCGTCCGTCCATGTTAAAATTTCCCGACTTTGTAAACCATAAAGTCAAGGAATTGGAGATACCAAAATTGTCGAATTAGAATAATAGAGACGGGTCAAGACAATAATATCGCTACATTCAGAAACAGCACTGGAATTAATTGTATAGCAAGAAAAAGCTCTTATGTCTTATAACTTGATGGGCTGCATTCAAGCAGCTTCATATTATCATTGAGATATGTGGCGTTCAGTGAGTCCTTTTGTGGCGGTGTGACTTATTTAGGTTGCACATGCCATATGACTGATATATTCTTGGAACAAGATGGAGATGTTGCGAACGGAGTATCCTTGCCTATGACTAGTGGCAAAGAAGCCGTAACAATGACGTTTCAATATCAAGACAAACTTCCAAAGTTACCTATTCCTCCGTTAGAGGATACCTTGGAACGATATCTTGCAGCTGTAAAACCACTTCAGGTAACTTAAAAAGAGAAGTATCGCAAAACAAATTAGATAGAGTTATTTGTAGGCATAAAGCGGTTTGAGCAGTAATGCGATCGGTGCCCCCACGATTTCTATTATGAAAATGCAGATTACATGCCTCATTAGATCTCTTGTAGTAGATCAAGATCGCCCATCAAATCACATGCAATTAAAAAAATAGTTTCTGAGCGACGACGTTGATCTGTCTATCCATCCTTCTTGCTACAGAGCAACAAAGAACACGAACGGACACTTGCTGCGGTCAAAGAATTCGCAACTGGTGAAGGTCCCGTACTCCAAGAAAAACTTCTCAAATATGCCGAGGATAAGTCGAGCTACATCGAAGAGTTTTGGTACGAATCCTATTTACATTATAGCGATTCAGTCGTCCTTAATCTCAATCCATTCTTCGTACTCGAGGATGATCCGACACCGGCCAAGAATAACCAAGTTATTCGTGCTGCTTCCCTTATTATCTCTTCCTTGAAATTTGTGCATGCTCTCCGTACCGAGACTCTGGAGCCTGATGTATTTCGAGGCATTCCATTATGCATGTCTCAATTTGAAAGACTGTTTGGCACTTCTCGTCTACCGACAGAAAATGGATGTATTATGCAGACGGAAGCGCAATCAAGACACATAGCAGTCATTTGTCGTGGACAATTCTATTGGTTTGAAGTGCTTAATGGTGATAACCAAGTTTGCATAACTGAGAAAGAACTTGTAGCTAATTTGAAAACTATTAAACAAGATGCCCAACAGACACCAGTAGTCGAAGCTGCTAAACACGCCGTAGGCATTCTATCTACCGAAAATCGTAAGGTATGGGCAGGTCTCCGTGATATTCTAGAGCAATCTTCGGAGAATAAAGATGCACTTAAAGTTCTTGACTCGGCACTATTTGTCGTATGTCTTGATGAAGTGTCTCCAACAACCGGAGACGAGGTTTCGGAGAATATGCTATGTGGTACATACAAAATTGAACAGGGAGTTCAGGTTGGCACATGTTCAAACAGATGGTACGACAAGCTACAGATCATAGTTTGTGAGAATGGTTCAGCTGGGGTGAATTTTGAGCACACAGGTACACGTTATTCTAATACCGGCTTAATATTATTGCTTATAATATTTATTCTCACATCAATTAATTTACTACAGGAGTTGATGGTCACACTGTCTTGCGTTTTGTCTCGGACATCTATACGGACACTATCCTTCGATTCGCACAAACAATCAACAGTCATACCAAGTCCCTCTTCCATTCGTCTTCTCACACACGCCAACAAAGAAACTCCAATGGGACTCAAATCATCGATACGACTCCAAAAAAACTAGAATGGACGCTAACTCCAGAAGTGCAAACTGGTATTAGGTTTGCAGAGAGTAGATTGAGCGATCTAATATTGCAAAATGAGATTGCAGTGTTGGAATTCAATACTTACGGAAAACATTTGATTACAAACCATCAGCTCAGCCCGGATGCATTCGTGCAAGTACGTATACACGTGTATTATCTCTTCGTAATCCGTGATTGTAATGCTGTTCACTTTTGTGGCTTTTAGATGGCATTCCAAGCAGCATACTATGGGCTGTACGGATCGATTGAATGTACATATGAACCGGCTATGACTAAAGCCTTCCTTCATGGACGCACCGAAGCAATTCGGCCAGTATCTACCGAATCAGTAGAGTTTGTCAAATTATTTTGGACAGACGCTCCTGGAGTCGAGAAACTTAAAAGTCTCCGAAAGGCTATTACTGCGCAAGTTAATCTTACCAAATTGTGTTCTAAAGGCCTGGGGCAAGACAGACATCTCTATGCCTTACAATGTATTTGGCAAAGGGATCATCTGGGAAAGATTAACGAAGACAAGATACCTTCAATCTACAAAGATTCCGGTTGGCAAACGCTCAACCATACAGTCATCAGCACAAGCAACTGTGGTAATCCTGCCCTACGACTGTTTGGTTTTGGCCCTGTTGTCGCTGATGGTTTTGGTATTGGTTATATTATCAAAGAAGAGGGCATTGCTGTAAGTGGAATAGTTTGATTGACTCGAACTGAAGTTGTCTAACCATAATAATACTAAGTTTATTGTTCTATGCAGTTTTGCGCCTCGTCTAAGCATCGGCAAACGCATCGCTTTCTTCAGACGCTTAAGAACTATTTACTTGATGTGCGACTGTTACTTTTGTCTGAAAAAAGGTCGCACGATTTGATGCGTAATGTGTCGGATGAAGAAAACATAAGCATGCTTTCTGGCTACGGTTACTTTGATGCTGGTGGTCTCGAGGAATTACTTGAACACCATTTGGAAGAAAAGAGGGAGGGTATGCAACTAGTTGGGAAAATCTTGAAATTGGTAGATTACTAAGGTGTAACATTGGGCTATAAATGCTGTAATTTTCATAGTTACCTAACACAGCAGGAATCAATCACATTGATGATAATTGCTTTCTTGCTCTTGCTCGTGCTGTTGCTCTTGTTCTAGCTCTTGCTCTAGCTCTAATAATTATTAGTTTTGCTCCGGATCTGTGTTTAATTTATTTTTTATACCTCAATACCTCAATACTTAGCATGTCCATGTTGTTAGTAGGTCTGCCTGATACTAAGGAATAAACCTATCAATTCGTAATACATAGTTTATCACAAAAAAAGAATAATAATTGTAACAAATTATTCAAATACAAAGTGAACGTTTCATGCCTGGTGTGAAGTTGATTATCGCACAGAGTCTGACTGCTACTTTAATACATGGCACCGTCGTATCAATGCTTATATCTGGGCGACAACTGATAGCTTATTAAAAAAGATGGTAATGAATAGACCAAATTTCCTAAAAAAGAAACATTGTTAACGTTAATTAAGTACTACTTTGACAAAGGTTAACTGCATCAATTCAGTTACTTTGCGCGGAAAGTTTACCATTTGCATAGCTCCGCCCAGTATCTTACTTAAATGGCGGCTAATCGAAAGCCAAGGTGCAATTTAATCTCGCTAATCTTTCCTACAAACATCCGTGAGCCATATTGTAAATGTCTAAATTTGCGACGCTTTGGTTCAAAATAAACACAAGGATTTATTTAAACGCTTTTCGCAGTGTAAAACTATGTTATATTTATGTCGTACATATGTCGTATGTAAATAAATCCCGGATTAATATGTATAAATGCCGTACCACGATTTATATATATAATATGGGAATGGAGAGGCATTGGGCTTCCCATTGTACAGTACAGAAATAGCTTTTGCGGTGTAAGTTACGATATATTTACAGGAAGTTGAGCAAAAACTATTTATGTTATAATTACGATAATGAATATGCATTACATCGATATGAATTATGGATGCAGAATGTTATCAAAAAGCTTAAGCGTGCAAGAGAAGTCACAAAAAATATTTAAGCCTGTACAATTATATAGAGAAAATGGCTCGAATATATATATCGCCTTGATGGTTTGACAGTCACAGAACTTGCACAACATTATCAATTATTGCGGGCAGTCCGTGAAAAATGCGTCAAATTAACAATGTACAACTTATCTAATATTCACATATCTATTTATATTTTTCTAATATACGTGGAAGAGATATTTTATATATTCGAATATATCTTCTCCAAATTTATAAAAATCTAGAGGGTTTCCATAATTATGGCCTTCAATATTGTCCATATCACATTTCTAATTCTTTTACTGAAAACCATATTTTTATTTAGCATATATATTTCTACTTTTACGAGTTCGTCAAATATTGACAATGCAAAAGGATTAAACCGCATAATCAAACCTCGACAAGTTGAAAGCCAATCAGGTTCGAGTTCCGCCGTCATCCATCGATTGTAGGAGAGGACGTATCGATAAGTAATTTTACTACGTGTTAACATATACCTGAGATAAAAAACGATTTTAATGCAGTATACACGGACTGTCCGATATAATCGATTATTTTTTCTTTAGACTTGAGACGAACACGACTAGATTTAAAGGCCGAGGATCCTCTTTCAGATGGGTTGTAATTTATCAACGATTATTTATGTAGTACAGTTACGTATGTTCCATGATTTCTCTGAAATACTTCTATTTCAATTCCAAGAAAAAAGAAAATTTTAGATGATACCGTATCTGAATCCTCGTCTTCATCCGAGTCCGCCTCTGGATCATCTAATGGTTATAAAGATTTTACTGTGAATATGGTAAAAGTGAAGAAGTGTGATTATTCTTGGTCGGAAAGATCTTGCTTGATCTGGGGATTGCCCTTTTTTCCTGTAATTGACCACAACGTAATTTTGAACCGGAGAAGTATGGTTATCTACGCTGTGGCGTAAACACAGCAATTGTATAAGCGTGGGCCCTCATGCGCTACCACACCATAAATGGCACCAATTTTCGTAAGTATTTGGGAATTGGATCATATTTTTTAAGAATCTATTGAACCATTTAACTCCTGGCTTACCTGGATCACCCATTCGGCCAGACGATATAGCATTCTGTACCCAAGTGAGTAGTTCCTTAGCTCGTTCTTGGTACTTCTTAAATTTTCTAGGAATATCTGGTTGACCCCTATTCTTCGCATAGTAATAGCCTATCACGCCAGAATCTGTAATGCGTAAGTTCAGCGGGGCGGATACAAAGCATTATCATAACATCTGCGAGAGCTTGTAAGTCGGGTAAAGTAGTTGTATCATAACTATCCAATCTTTCTTTGACTGATTCTAATGTAAATTCATCTGGATAATCAATACGATTGGCTTCAGCCTTTTTCTGATTGTCCCTCTGGATTTTGTTAGCTTCTTCTGTAAAATCTGGAAATTTCGTGGCCTCGCTATTGCGGGTAAAGCATCAAGGCTTCTTAATCCTCTTCTGAGTTGGGAAAGACGTGATGAACCAGCATTAGCATTTTTTGCTGATAGGGCCAAGGCATAAGCTTCAGCTCTTATATCCCGAATACTAAGCTTATCCCGTAAAAACCGATGCGCCATCTCTCCAATTGTTTCTTGTCGGGCCCGATCTTTCGAAGAAAGGAGACTTTGTCTCTTAGAAATAACAATGTTTACTGTGGAACAGGGCACTTCGTGCGTGGTTTTGCTTTTGGGTTGAACATTTTTCTGAATAGAGAATAAGTTATCCACTTGACCCTCACTAAACCCATATCTATTTTGCAAAATTCGCTTTGCTTTCTCTCTGATGATCTCTTCTTCCGAACTTTTTGGGAGCTTGGTTACGACTATTCTACAACTACCTTCAACTAAATTTATAATTTTATTTTCCCCACGTCTCTGATTCGGTATTAATATACTTACCTGCTCACTGGTAAATTTGAATTCTTCTCGAAGACGCCTTCGTGCCTGATATCATCAGTAAGATTCTCGAGAAACTCTGAGGTGTATCGACTGAGATCGGTCACACTCATCTCGGAGCTGAGATTG